CATTTGGAGTGTACTGGCTTCAGTTATGGGCAATCAGTTCAAGAGGAGGTTAAGTGGTGACCTGTTTGAGAACCAGTATTTAAAAATAATGAAAAGAATTGATAGCTGAGGCAGCGGACCACTCTTATAATAATAATAACCCTTGCGATTGACATAGCGCCTTATCACGTACGTCTTTGAGACGTCTTAAAGCGCGTCACAGAATACACTGTGAAGTGAATTGACTGTATATTTTGTGGGGGAAACTCGGCAGCCGATTCCTTACATCTGCTTTGGGAAGAGAGAGATTGCAACTGGGTCGACTGCACATCTGACACTGGCTTCACCAATCTACAAGATCGGATTTGTTTTGTCAGCGCTCTCGGTTCCGAACCCTGATTAATTCTCGTTCCCTCTATCGTGCCCCAGATCTCAACAAATAACAGAGATAACATCACAGGGTTAAAATAATGAACTTTAAAACGTTGTGTCGAGACTGGGTTTAGTTTTTGCAGGTGGGCAAGGTGATTTTCCACGCCGTACAGATGTCAACAACAAAAAAACCTAAGCAGTTTATGAGGACTCGGTGTGCTGGATGTTCTGCTGAGACGAGGTAAAGTGACTTTGAAGAATTTCCACTGATGAAGCAAAACAGTGGTTGAAACAATAATAGGTTACCCTCCTTGGTGGGAGGAGGGAGTAAGTGGTGGGGGGTGGTGGTGGGGTGGGGGGGGTCTCCTTGGAGCTGAGCTGACACCGAGGTGACATGCTGGAATCGATCCAGCCCTCTGTGGAGGTCTCGGTAGGGTTCCTGAGACACCCTTCCAGAAAAAAATAATGGTTTGGTCATTCAATCCACGACTGTCTCTGGGACGCTGCTTTGTGCAATCGACTTCCGCATTTCGCCCCCAAACTATGCAGTCAATCCACTTTGCAGTATATCCTGTGAAGTGCTTTGAGACGTCTCAGCGACCGGAGGGGGACCTGTATCAAATTCAAGGATAATTATTATTACTATTACTATTACGTTTCAGGTTGTACCGAATTGTGGCAATTTAATTCACGTTTCGTTTGGAACCTGTTTCTTTTGCAGATCTTACAAATAACTAGAGGTCAAGGGAAGACTGAGCGAAATAATTCTCTGCAATCCTGCCTGATCTCAAGCGTTATGGCAAAAACCTTCTTACCAGCTATCAATGGGTGTCATTTCAGGTCTCGAATGAGCACTGACTTGTGGTTTGAGCGAATACGATTCTGGTTAAGGGTATTTTAACGGACATTTCACACTCTAACCTTATAGGACTCTTAGACACCAGTTGCTTTCATGCAAATGGACTGCACTGTGCTGCGCTGCACTGAGTGAGATGCAACAAGGCTGTGTTGCCTCGTGAGTCACACTCATAGATGGAGCACTGACTTACAGTAAAGTCAAGGCTTCTTAAGCAAGTAGCACGACCGCAGCATTTCTCCTTGGTCTGAAACTCTCTCACTGTATCAGAGGACAGAGCTTCCTGTAAAGTCACACCTGCTAAGCGCAAGTGCTAACTCTTGTACACATTGCTGAATTGCTGCTCACCTGTCCACCTCTTTTATGTATAACATTCACACCGAAACTAACGCAATAGCAAAAACCCCAGTGACACCTCCCACGTCACGTTTCCACCGTTTGCATCTGAATATAAATATTATTATTATATATATATTATTATGATATAAAAGCAACCATTAGTTCTCGCCCTCGCCCTCCCCTTCGCCAACGAACCATCCAACGGATCTCAGTTCAGATGCCAAAGTTGATGTCCACCACAACCTCCAGCTAACCGATATGAATCAAAAAATGGGAACGATCTATTCATCTGGAGGGCTCTGCTCAGGGACAAGGATATAAAAGTGAGAAGTATAAAAGTGAGGAGGCGGTGGTGAATTTGTACGATACTCGGAAGGGCAGACCAGTCACTGGGGGGCAGGGAATCATCCCACTCAGCTCCCGTTAACCCAGCAAGCCAAAGCCCTCACAGGTAAGGTGGTCCTGGCTGGACAAGCAGAGGGAAAGCTTGCCGGACAGCAGCATAAAGGCAAGCTCTGTGGTTTTGGCTGGTCCGACTCCAGCAATTTCCCCAACACACACTCGGGGGTTTCCAAGCCTTGGCTGATGCCAAGCTGCGTCTAATACTTCCAGAATTAGGTAAGCAGAATGCGTCCCTCCAGCGGGGGAGAGAGAGAGAGAGAGCGCGAGAGAGAGAGATAACAATCTATCTCTGGGATTTCCATGTGTAGGTGGGATGCATGAAATTCTCAGCTGGGTTTGGAGACTCTTCAGCACGGTGATGGGCTTCCGCGCGTGTCAGACGATCGGCTGACCAAAAAAATGGGATATGAATCAAATCCACTGACTCAGCGCAGCCCAGAGATCAATCACTTGTTTTACAGGTATTCAGATGTGGACAGAGGTGAAAGGTAAACATAGCCATTGATCTGCTGTGTGGTGGAGAGGTGATGGTGCTCCTGAGGTTAGCGAAAAAATTGGCACTCGCAAACAACTAGCAACGGAGCTTGACCTCAAAAACCTTGTCATATGTTTTTGTAATGCTCACTTTGAGCATCCGTCTGACAAGAATTTCTCACCTCTCACAGGGTTTTCACTTTCTCACACTTTAGGCGGGTAAACAAGTCAACGAACATTACTGTGAGTTTCTTGTTTGTGAACAAGTTGAACCACGGGTCTGGACTCACCAGAGGCTGATCACCATCAGCACAGGTATTCTCTGGCCACTTCCAGTCAAACCTTGCGAATCTTCAGAGATTCCCATTAATTGTGATGCCACCGTTGGGTCACACGCACACAGCACCCTCTCTCAGGGTGTGGGCATGCCTCAGTCAGCAAGTAATAATAATAATAATCCTCGCATTTGATATAGCGTCTTATCATGCCTTCAAGACATCTCAAAGCACCTCACAGGATATACTGTAAAGTGAATTGATTGTGTATTTTTGTGGGCGAAATGCGGCAGCCAATTAATTACGCACAGCAGCGTCCCACATCGCTGATTAGTGACCAAATTATTTTTGTTTATTTTGAAGGAATTATTACCTCTAGAAAAGCGATCCGCTGATCGACTAACAACTGGGTTCCTACTTGCTGCGAGGTAAACAGCGGTGTGTGTGTGGGTGTGGGTGTGGCGTAAGGAAACTTGCTCAACGTTTCGCCCGGCCCCGGGAATCGAACCCAGGTCCTCTTGCTGGCGAGGCAAGTGCTCTAAACCACTGAGCTACAGGACTCCGCAAACGCAAGCTTTCTTTACTCAGTCACAGTGTGACAGGAGGTGACATACGGTCAACAGCACAGTCTACAATGCAGCATTCAAGCAATCTTGTTTCCTCTTCCTGTACCACTTTACCACGTCCTGTGGTCTGGCAACTAATGGCTGCCTTACTGCCGTGCCCTGACAGAAAGCTGCCTCAGGAAATAGCACTGATGAATAGCTTCACTTAACATTTACCTTTGAACCCCAGCTCCAGTCTTGGCCTCATTGGTTAGAGGTTGAAACGTATTTTTCTACCCAATGTTATTCTCCTGATGCTGCGTCAATGTTTCTTCCAGCAGAGTTTCAGCTTCAATCGCTCTCAGCGAGCGATCAGACACCGAGAAACAAGTGAGTCAGAAAAACTTCTTACAGCAAAGTAGATCAAAATCACCTTTATTTTTCCACAGAATGTGATACATCGAAAGGTTGAACTGAATACGTTCCGAGCATTTACATCAAACGATCAGATACTCTGGCAAGTGGGGAACTATGTAAATCACACCTCTGCAAAACAATTGATTCAGCATCTGCCGGAGATGGATTCTTAACGAGAACTGATTGAATAGGTAGATATTCTACCTTTGGTCTTGATGAGGATTTGTCAGTGGCATTCTGCGCAAGTGGATGGGTGGTGTGTGTGTGTGTGTGTGTGTGTGTGTGCGCGCGCGCGCGTGTGTGTGGTGGGGGAATTTGATTCAACAATGTACATGAATAGAGAAACACGCACACACTCATACATACATACATGTATGCATATTACATGCGACATATATACATACATACATATATTACAGGCACACTACAACAACAAGTTACACTTGTATAGCATGCTTCACATCGGAAAGACATCCCCGGACACTTTTGACAATGCTGCAACTGCATTGGAGTGTCAGCAGAGACTAAATAATGATAACATTATAACATAATCCCTTGCATTTGATATAGCGCCTTATCACGTCTTCAAGGGTTCCAACTCCATTGAACTCACAAGCTTCTGACTTAGAGGTGACTGCGCTACCCACAGGGCTCGGCTGGCACCACTTAAAAACTTAATCATTGCAACAAGAACGAGCGAGTGCAAGACTGATAAAATCAACATCTTCTCTCTGCTGAAAGAGCAAAGGAATCAGATCAAAGAAGATGTCTGTTTTGTACATCTGGGGCGGATGAAGATTGCCGCGATGGGAGATTTAAATTGGCTCATTTTAAATGTAACATCACATTTGAACCACCTTCATTGGTTCTGAACGACAGACACCTCCCCTCTCTCCCCAAACAATGTCAAACTCCGCCAATGTTAAATGCTCTCCGAGATTCTACCCGGCCTGTAGGGCGCTATATAAAAGCACGTTGTTATTGCTCTAGGCTGCAATTTCCGAAGGGAAAAGGGAAACCCGCCATTTCTTATTAACTCTGAGCATTACGTGGATTTGAATTGCATTGTTGAAGAGCTTTCCTCTGCCTCACCCACAAAAATACACAGTCGATTCACTTTACAGTATATTCGGTGAAGCGCTTGAGATATATCGGGACTTTGAACTCACATAGTCCAGACTGGCGCTCCAATGCAGTGCTGGGGGCAGAGGTGTATTGTCGGAGGTGATGTCCTTTGAATAAGATATTAAACCGAGGTCCTGTCTGCCTGTTCGGGTGGATGATAAAGACCCCGTGGCACTATTTAAAAAGAGAAAGGCATTTCTCCCGTTGTCCTGGCCAACGATCCCCCCAAAACAAAATCAATCTTTCACTTCATGGCTGTGAACGTACAAATTGTCAGTCGTGTCCCCCAACAAAACACACAGTTACTACAATTTACGGTAAATCCTTTTGAAACGTCCTCCCAGCACAAAAGGCCCTGCGTGAAATGTAAATAGTATTATTTTGCACCAATGATCAATTTAAAGGGTTAACTCTCCAAAAAGAAAATCTGGTTTTTATTGCTCTTTTTCAATGTCCACGCAGGTTAAAAGATATGAAAAGGACAGAAAAGGAAAACCATGGTTAGACACGTCTGAATTATAGTTATAATGCACAAGTTTGAAGTCTGGACAGTTCGCACGAGAGAGGGCTGAACAGTCAGCACAGAAACACCGGCAACACACAACGAGGCAAATCTCCTGTAATTTATCTCTTGCTGCCTCTCCAGCCTGGTCCAGTCGATTTGATTTGTCCCATTAGTGAAGTAGCTTCAATACGTTTTGAGAGGAACGGAAAGCAAGACAAGTCGGTTCCTCTCTCGGATGCTTACATTCTAGCGGTGAATTTATTTCTCAGGTTCTGGCTTGAGACATGGACTGCAGCGTACTCTGTTTCCTCAGCTACCGCTTGGTTGTGGTAAGGTGAACCGCTCGCGTCTTTAGACCTTGTCTTGTTTTCTCTGGCTGCAATATACGGGCGATGCTGCAATGTTGGGGAACAGAACAGGTTATTTAATGCTCAATCCTTCCAAAAGATATGGTTGATTTCGCTTCCCTCATCCCACCCCCACCCCAACACCTGAACATGTGAAGTGCTTATGAGACACTTTGATAATAATAATAATAATAATAATAATAATAATAATAATGGTTGCATTTGATACAGGGATGTCCTTCTGACGTGAAAGGCGCTATACAAATGTAATTTTGTATTGTACAGCTAATCACGTCATTGAGACTTCCCAAAGCGCTTAAAGGAATATCCCGTAAAGTGTAGTGACTGTGGCTTTTGTGAACAAAATGAGGCACTGGATAAAGGTAAGTCTTTGTATTGTGAGATTGTACCTCGGGCTTGTGTGTGTGACCTCGGGGTTTTGGTCTCCGAATCATGATGTCCGCGTAGGACACTTCATTCTCTTCCTCTGGTTTATGGTCGTCAATGGAAAGGGAACCTAAGGGAAAAAAACCTAACACTTTCAGTCATTCATTCCGCTTTAAAACAAGCTATGTGTCTTGAGATTGAATGGTGTTTGACTTACACTGTGCAGGTGTCTGGTGTTTGGGAAGAGCTTTCTTCTGCACCTCTGCATATATTGTATCTGAAAGTTCCAGCAAAAAAGGACAACATGAGTAAGGGTGAGATTGGCAAATTTCCAGTATAATAATAAATATCCTTATAATATTAATAAAGGTAATAATTCTTCCATTTGATATAGCGCAGTATCGCGTCTTCGAAACGCCTCAAAGCGCTTTTGCAGAATATACTGTAAAGTGAATTGACCGGATATTTTGTGGGCGAAACACAGTTGATACACAGCGCCTAATAATGTTGAAACATACTTCACAGGATTTACTGTAAAGTGACTGAATTTGTAGGCGAATGCAGCATTCAATTTGTGCCCAGAAATATCCCACGAACAGCTATGAAGTTAATCACCATTCTTTTTCTCTGTTGGACGGTTGGTCAGAACACAGGGAGAAACTCCCTTATTTCTTCAAACAGTGCCAAGGAATCTTTATTGTCCCCCTGAACAGGCAGATGGGACCTTTGATTTAATGTCTTATCTGCAGGACAGCACCTCAGAAAATGCTGCTCCCCCATGGAATATTAGCCTCTGTGTAAAACAAATTCACCTAATCTTCCCCTTTTTTCCTGGGCTAACTATTGTGAAATGATACCCTCAAGGCACTGACTCACAAAGCAGTGGAAATAAAACCCCTCGTAAAGGCCTCAATCTTCTCTGTTCCAATGAAAATAGGTCGAGTTCTTCTAGTCTCTGCCTTCGTGTCAAACCACTCATAATAATAATAATACTTGTGTTTGATAGGGCTCCTTATCACGTGTTTGAAATGTCTCAAAGTGCTTCGTAGAATATATTGTAAAGCGAATTGACCGTGTGTTGTTTTGTGGGCGAAACACTCATCCTGGTAAATCTCCTCTGCACCATTTCTATGGCTCTGAAATCCTTCCTAAAGTGGGGTGACCTAAATTGGACCTACTAATCCAAAGGCTAAGACCATGAGAACATTTGGGGCTGAGCAGAGGAGTACGATTTCTTACTGCACCAATGAACGTTCGTTCAGAAGCATATCATTCAGTGACACACGTACCGGTTTCATTGATGTGGCTTGGATGCTCATTGCTTTCTGGACTGAAAGAGAGCAAAACACAGTCCTGTTATTCTGGTGACATATAGACCACGCCTTACTACGGTGTGACTCACACTCTCTCTCACACACACACTGAGCCTCTCGACATCTAAATACAGTTAAACGCTTGTAACTGAATACAACTAAAGCACTTCTAAATACAATTATCATCATTCTTCCACCTGGGTCAGTGGTTGGTCCGTGCGCTGTTGGAAAGAAAACATGTGAGGTGGGGGTGTGGGGGGGGTGTGAGTGGGGGGATGGGGCAGGTAATAGGAATTTGTGAACAACTTGTAGGCGTCCTTTTATGAGCAGAAAAGCGAGAAATGAAAGGCCCACATAGCCAAACCACAAGTTGTATAATCGTCACTGCTTGTGAGATTTCACAGAGGGTATTAAATAAATAAATAGTACAAATCTGTATTCAATGCAAAGCAAAATGCAACAGGTTCTGCAAAGGTAATTTACCAATTTACCGCCAGTCGATGAGGTCACCTTATCTTGGTTAAGCGATGGGCAAAGTGCAACGATCTGTCAGTGTTTTACTGTGCGGTTTTGTGAAGGTAATACTTTGTGAGCTGGTACACTTCGAACCATTAACCACCGCAACAGTCGTATTGTGCACAGCTTTGCTTTGAAATCTTCCAACGCTTCACGCGGGGGGCTGCTTTTCTGTGCTCCGATCGATTAAAAGCGATTGCCTTTTCCTCAACTTGAAATCGGAAGAAGAGAGTCCAGTAAAACTCACCTAAGTCTGATCTGTAGAAGTTGTACAATCGCCTAAGTCGTCGTACATCTGCCCAAGTCCCATTCAAGAATTTATATTCTATCCAAGTTTCACGTATCTTATACTTTGCATAAACCATATTAAATGTTCGTACCCAACTGATACGACTTATGTGAGGTTAACTGTACTGCACTATCGCTTTATGAGCATTCCAGCATTCTCTGTACACACTTCTGTTTCTCCGTTCACGTTACAAAAGTGCTCAAAAAATGTACAGAACATTTTTGCTGACAACCAAGTGAGGGGGGAGCCCAACACATCACTAATTCCTGTCATTGAATCGGCTGCTAAATTAATTTAATCTAATTTAATTAATTTAGCAGCTTTTCGACAACAAGAAATAGATTGTGCAAAGCGCTTTGGTGTTTAAAGCTAATGAAATGGCAACTGAGTACAGATTTGTACTGATAATATGTGTTATCCGCTTCTAAACCTCACTTGCTATGACTTATATAAGTTGTGGTTTGGAGACGTGGGCATTTCGCTCTCTCTTCTGTCTGTTGCAGATTGTGTAGAGAAGGCACACTGGCTGCAGAGCAACTCCCCAAGAGGAGACAATCCAGTAATAACTGGCCAAAGCTTGTCAGCGGAGGAGACATAGCGTTACTGACACAGGGCGATTGCTGCAACAACAACAACAACAACAACAAGTTACATTTCCATGGCGCCTTTCACGTCGGGAGGATGTCCCAAGGCGCTGGACAGTCAAGGATTTGTACTTGAGCTGGGGATTGGGATCAGGAGGGGTGAAGGGTAAGGGGAGGGGCGTGACTGAAGGACCGGTCGACGAGGAAGGTCTTGAGACAAAAACAACAACAGCAATAAGATTTCATTCATAGAGCGCCTTTCACGTCGGGAGGACGTCCCAAGGCGCTAGACCGTTGGCTCGGGACCCAAGCAGGGGGGAAATGGTCAGGGTGAGGGGAGGGAAGGGAGGGAGCGAAGAGGGGGTAGAGAGTTGAGAGGGGAGCTGAAGGCACGGTCGAAGAGAAAAATCTTGAGACCGGCCTTGAAGGAGGAAAGGGAGGAAGCGGCGAAGGCACTGGGGGATGGAGTTCCAGAGCCTCGGGGCTGAGAGGCTGATGTTGGAGCAGGAAAGGGCAGGGGACACACAGAGCCCGCTGAGTGGAGGGAGCGGACAGGTGGGTGAGGAGTTAGTAGGTCACAGAGGTAGGGGTGGACCTTAACGTTAATAAACATAGCAACCGGCCATCGAAATTTGCACAGTTCAACCCAACGATCGTTGGTAATTACTCTCAAGCGTAGTGATTGTATGTTTGTAGGCAACTTGCCCATGGTTTGGTCCCACAAATAGCCATGAAGTTAAGGTATATTTACCTGGAGGATGGTTGAACATCGATCTGAATAGTCTGACAGGGGCTTTCTCTCATCCGAAAGACGAGAGTAAGAGAAAGATGACACCTGTGATATTTTACAGCTCTCCCAGTACTGCACTGGAATCTCAGGTAGCGAGCTCACAGCCCGATGTGGGTTGTCAACCCACAAACTTCTGACTAAAGGGTGAGAGTGTTGTGTCACCACTGAGCCAAGCCGACACAATCAATGATCCCAACACGCTTTGTTGCGCTTAATTTCTTTAGGCAGCGCAATAAAAGGCAGTTTCCTTGCTGACGCAATTTGCTAGCAACAGCGCACTCGACAAGAGCTGCAGGAAGAATAATGATGAAGGTTCCCAGAGATTCTTACCTCAGCTCGATGGCCTCAGCACCCGGCTCTGAAAAGAGAAAGACTTTTACGGAGGACACATTTAGAGCCCAACTAAGTACAAGTGAATAACATTTGATTCCCAGGTCAACATGACGTGGAGTTATCTGCATACCATACATCGTAGCAGCGCTGTAACCCTTTACCAGAATTGCCGTACAGTATTGTATTCACAGGAAAGCTGTAGGCGTTTGTGTTCACTTCTGCTTTTCTCTTCGCAGTGCCGGCAAAGCTGATTGAGCTTAAAAGTGGAGCAAAGTAAAGAGGCACATCTTACCCTGGGAAGTCATTCCCGCGCACACTATTTCAACATGTTGTCTTAGGTTCCAACCGAAAGCGCTTCACACGCACCAAGCAAAGAGGAAGAGCCAAGAGTGCTTGCAATTGATTTTAATTGGTTTCTCTTCTGCTTTCTGTCCTTTTCTGGTTGAAGCAGTGAGAACCGATGCCACGGTTGACCAGCCTTCCTGACCTTGTGAAAGTGCTGAATGTTTTACTGCGGTTGTTTTGGTTCAAGATGGATCACAAATCTGACTGATTAAAGTGTGATTACTGCCCGCCCTGTGATAACTCCTCTCACATCCTAGTTGGTGATATCGACTATCGCGCTTTGAACAATTTTTTCGAAAAGGTACCCTAAACGCAGTAAACGGAAACGATTTAAAATGATAATTGATTTCAACTCAATGATAATAATAATCCTCGCATTTGACATAGCGCCTCATCACGTCATTGAGACACCTCAAAGCCCTTCGCAGAATACACTGTAAACTGGAGGGACTGTGTGTATGTCGTGGGCGAAATGCGGCAGCTGTTTGAGCAGATCTCAATCTCAATGCCCTGTCCTTTCACTTTACCCGTTAATACCAAACTCTGTCTGCCTGTCTGTCTCGTTAAACATCACTAATGATTCATCCTCTACAGATTTCTGGGTCCAAGCAATCCATATCTGCTCAAGCCTCCGAGTGAGGAGATGCTCACAAAATGCTCACATAACTTTCACACCAGAAACGGACTGAAAACCAAGACTCCCTCCCCCCATGTTGTACAGTTAAAAGTGTCGCTGTTTCTACCTCGGAGCAAAGAATATAGATATACACAGGATCTGGTAGCATTGGAGAGAGTTCCACCATAGCTTTGCGAGTGGATAAAACTAACAAGAAAGGCTGAACAGATTATAGTTTTATTCTCTGGAGATGGGATGATTGAAAGGGGGACCTGATGCGGCGTTTAAAACTGTGAAAGGATTCAGTAAAGGGGACACTAATGGTAGTTTCCACTTATTGTTGAGTGCAACACCAAGGAGATATACATTTACGATAGTCATCAACAGATCTAAATCAGACTTTAGGGAGGAAATTCCTCAAGCAGAGTGTGGTGAAAATGTGGAACTCACTGCTGTAAGCTGTGGTTGAAGTAAATGGTACTAATGTACTGAAGAGGAAACTTAATGCAGTATATAAGAAAATTTCAGAAGGGAAAAGATATTATTATGTTTAATAATAATCCTTTGCATTTGATGTTGCGCCTTATCACCTTGTTAGGACGTCTCAAAGTGTTTTGAAGGATATACTGCAAAGTCAATTGACTGTGAATGTTTTGGGCGACAGATACAGTGGAAAGTGAATTGACTGTGCGTTTTGTGGATGGAATAAGCCATTGTCAAAACAGGACACGGCATAAATGTGTTACTTTGTGCCAACCACAGCTTTTTACAGCTCACGAGTGATGTTGGAGCCGAGGTTAACACCTCTGCCCAAGGCGATTGCTTTGTCTCACCTTTCAGTCGCCGTTTCATCACCCAGCAGGCGATTGTCAGCGCACACACCACAGCTATCACCGTCACAGGCAGCCACACACAAATCAGCTTCTGGTCTGTGAACGAGAACGCAGCAAAGTCACAGCCTTGCCACTTGCTTACAAACAGGAGTCCTGCAGCGTAGTGGTTAGCACCCTTGCCTCGCATGCGAGAGGAGCCGGGTTCAATTCCCAGGCAGGATGAAACCTTCGTCACGTTTCCTCGCTCCACATGCAGTGTAGCCAACAGTAAGTAGGAACCCGTTTATTAGTTCGATTGGTGGATCGCTTTCCGGGGTTAGTAACCCCTACCAAGACTGGATGTTTGTGTTTGGCTGCCGCATTTTGCCCACAAAATATACCATGTACAAATACAAATACACTTCACAATATATTTTGCCTACGAAATATACGATTGACTCACTTCACAGACACTTCACAGAATATCCTGTGAAGCACTTTGGGACATCTCGAAGATGTGATAAGGCGCTATATCAAATGCAAGAGTTATTATTATTATTGTTATTATTATTATTATTATTATTAAGAGTGTTAATCGCAATAGTTTGCAGTTCTATTATGATCAACAAATCTATTTGTTTCAAAACTGTTGAGCGCACAGAATATTAAACCAACTCAGTTCAAAAGCTTTGTAAATGGAGAATTAATTGAATCTTATCCGGGGCTTCGTATGTCACAGATAGGCAAAGATCTGGTTACAGTCTCACCAGCAGCGCTCTGTGTCTCTGTCAGGCGCGAAGGGGGAATATAAACACACACGGGTTGTTCTTGACGACCGTTGCAGAAAAGTTGTCAAAGTTGTGAGGTTGTAAATTACAATCTCCTGTGAAATCTGTTGGCGTTTTGCTTCATTTGATGAAAAACAATTTAATTTCCTCTTCTCTCACACAAGGGGTTGAGCCATGTTTATATAGTTACTTTTAGCACAAGTCAGCCTCCAATACCTCAACCACGTGCAAGTCTAGAGAGTGACCGTTAGCTGTGTCCCCCTCACAGCCCGCGCTCTTTCCTGCCAGCACTTGCACTAATAAACTGGGGCATTCTGTAAGCCTGTAAGAGGCAAAGGCAACTTAATGTATACATGAGGGAGAAGGGAATAGAGAGATATTGGATAGGGGATAATTATAATAATAATAATAATCCTTGCATTTGATGTAGCACCTTATCAACTCGTTCAGACGCCCCATAATAATGTACAGGAAGAAGGAACAAGCCAATATGCTGCCCCGTTTGCCCACAAAACACAGTGACCACACTTTATATTCCTTTGAGACCGTCCTCCCGACTCGAAAGACGCTTTTACCGAATGTATTTTCATTAACATGACTATTTTCAAATAAACCAGATATTCTAAGCAACCCTTTCTGAGACTCAGGAAGTGAGAAGTAAAGCCACGAATTTTGTCTGAACGATTTGGCAGTGAAACCTATTGCGTTTCATTTTACTCACTGTGAGGTTGTAATGTTATCGAAATTTCTGTCTTGTTGTGGCCGTGCTTGTTGGTTGCCTCGCACACATATATTCCGTGTTGCAGAAGCTTGAAGCTGGTTGAGTTTATGGTAAGTGTGCCCTGAGTTTGGTTCGTCTCCGCAAGTGTCTCTTCACCCTTCTTCCACTTTACTGAGGCCTGTGGGTTACTGTCCACAAAGCAGGTCAGTTCCAGGAAGGAGCCCATAGGGACAGGGATGGAGGTGGTCACAGGCAGGTATTTGGCTTGTTCCTTTGTCCTGTACTTTATGATGGGATCCTGGGGACCATCTAACGGGGAAACGGAACAAGAATTGTTATACATAACAATCAGACAATAATAATAATAATAATAAAAATCCTTGCATTTAATTATTAGGTCTTCGAGGCGTCTCAAGACACTTCACTAGATATACTGTAAAGTGAATTGAGTGTATATTTTGTGGGTGAAACGATAAAACAAAAGGTTCTGTTAGACAATGACAGATGGCAACAGGAATTAATAGGAATAAATACTCTTCAAGGTTACAGGAAGAAATTTTAACATGGAAATAATGACACTTACACTCAATATTCAGTCTGACCTCAGCCCGAGCTGCAGCTGTGTGAATGTCGGGGTTGATCTGACACACACACACACTCCTATTATCTCTGAGCTCAGCAGTAATCTTGAGATGGCTGGTGATAAATTTTGTGCTTTCGTTTCTTCCAGAGTCCGTGGGGACTGTGCCATTGACATTCTTTCCATGAAGTACACAGATGAAGGAGAGACTGAAGGAACGATATACTAGAGCAGAGCAGTTTAGGGTAGACTCGCGTCCTTTCACCAGGACAGATGGAGAGATGCGTGGAGTTTCTGGAGAAGAGAAAGTTCAGGTATGAACGTACAAGAGTGGGTCGATGTTAGTGGTGATAATGCCGTCACTTTACAGCAATGCATAATAGTAATCATTGCATTAGGTGTAGTGCCTTTCACATAGAGAGGACATCTCAAAGTGCTTTGCAGGATTTATTGAAGGGACTGTCTGTTTGTAAGAAGACACGGCAGCCCAATTTCGTAGAACAATTTCCCACCAACAGTCCTGAAATGGAGAAGCTCTCTTCTCATTTCGAATAGTGCCAGGGGATCTTAAATTCCACCTGAACACATAGACAAGGACCTCGGTTTAACATCTCATATGAAGGACAATGGAACACATCTCAGCACAGCACTGGAGTTGGAGCATCAGCCGAGACAGTGAGTGTAAGGCTCGACGCGGGGCTTGAACCCACAACCTTCTGATTCAGAGGCAAGAGTGCTATCAACTGCCCGGGCCGACTGACGTGTATTTGGCAGAGGTACGTTGCAAGCTTTCAACATGCGGAGAGAGAGCACGAGTTGGAGGGGCTCGGGGATGGAGTTCCAGTCAGCGGGAGGCGGAATGGCTGAAAATACGACCCACCAACATGAATCCTATCAAAACAAGAACTCCGGGGGTCCCAAATTCCAACTAGTTTCAGCCGTCAGACCATTCACCTCAAGCTTCTCCTTGCGCAGAATCGTGGTCAATTCTTAAATTCAGTTTTTGAAAACTATCCGACTGTAGTTCTTTTAAAAAAAAAGAAACAGAAATAAGATTGAATTTCTAAATATTTCCCCCCCCCAAAAAAAAAAATTAAGACAATGGCCTTCAGGCTAAAACCAGGTGAAACTTTAGTTCTGGTGTGCTAAGCATAACCCTGATTTACCCACTTCCTAACATAAATATACTTTACCGTAAATACGTAACCGAGTTCCTCCACCGATTTTCTCCACAGTCCCGTTTTCTGCGGTCACGATAACCTCACAGTAATACGTATAAGCAGATTCTCCAGGAGAAACATTTGCAATCTTCACTGATGTCCAACAGCTAACGACCCCTTTGTGTTCACTGCAGTTCTCATTATTCTTCTCCAGGATAACAGGAGGTTTCTGAAAGCCCCGATACCACGCTGCATAAACCTGATTGCTTTGTATTCCAGTGCAATTATAGGTACAGTTTAAAGTGACCGATTCCCCTCTCCTTACGTTGACCTCGCGAGGCTGAGTCACCTCCAGGATCCGTCCACCTGGTGAGACAATAAGAATAATAAGAATATTCCTTGCATTTGATACAGCGCCTTATCATGTCGTTGAGACGTCTCAAAGCGCTTCACAGAATATACTATAGACTGTATTTTGAGGGCGAAATAAAGTCTGTCAGGATCTCAGCAAAATAAAAGTACCAAGATTTAATGTAAACTAATAAGGAACGACAGTAATTTATATCAAACACTATTTTGGGCTCTAATGAAATGCAAATTAAATTACAAAACGTTGATTTGTCTGTTTCAGATCAATGAGACATTTTCGGGTAGGATTTTCTGTAATGTTATTCAACTTGTTTTTATTAAACTTTTTAATGAAACCGTGAACCTCTCGCTTGGCACACACTGCTCCTTATTCCCAGCCAAATCACACACAATTTCGCCCAAGTCGGTTCCCCCTGTCTCCGTCTCCCTGATGTCACGTTAGGAAGATTTAATTGCAACGAAAAAGCCTTCGGGTGTCACAAGATGAGGATCGAATCGTTCAGAAATCATCTCCGGCCGTACCCGGGAGTGCCAGCCCATCCCGGAACAAAACAGAAAGCTGAACGTTTCAGCAAATAAAAAATTTAAACGGTGAAATCGACACATCGAGTAAAGTTATAAAGGATTTTTAGGACATCCGTATTACACACTCACATTGTTATAGACAACAACAGTAAACCCTGGTATTTGATACGGCGCCTCATTACTTTGCCAAGGCGTCCAAAAGTGCTTCCAGGATTTACCGTAAAGTGGATTTGGTGGATGAAACACCAGCACTGCGATGCCCCACAAACAGCGGTGGAGCATTTGAATCATTGTTGAATCATGAGCAGTCACACGGATGAATCTCTACCGAGAAAGAGTAACTAACTCACCATGTGCCCCAGCAAGCAGAGTAAAGAGCAGGCTTGGAAATAGCAACATCCCAGTGGCAACTCTGCCGTCAATCCTTTATTCCTGGCGTTCCTCAGAATGTCTCAGTGTGTTGCATGGCACGGCACGCAAGCTTGGCCAGACAAGAAGCCCACATCTCAGTCTGGAGGAAGCCTCGAAGTGCAAATTCGACTGAATGCCATTGTTTCCGACCCAGATTAGGAGGAAGTTGCGTGAATAAGGAAGGAGCTTTTTTTTTTCTTCTTCTTCGGTGCAATGCTTTCTGTCAGGATGTGATTGAACCTGTACAGAGTACTGATCCAAATCTGGTAGCAGTTGCACACACACACACACACGCGCGCGCACGCACGCACGCACAGGAGGTTCACAATCTCCCAAAGGCCAAAAGTAGCCAATGTTACCACGTAATCTAAGTTGCAACGCCAAATGTCACCTGCTTCGGTCTGTCCCACTTTTTTTTCTGAGTCAGAAAATTGTGGGTGGAAGTCGACATAGGGCTTTGAACTCACAGACTAGACTGACGCTTTAATGCAGTGTTGGGGAGAATCCAGAGACATTACTTTGCCTAAAGGGTGCTCTGCAAATGTAAGTTGTTCTTGTTGAATAGACCTTAACTGAGGTTCCATCTCTGCGTTAAAGTTGACGTTAAAGATCTTATCTTCAGAAAGTGAGAGAGTTATTCCCTGAAAACTGGTCAACAATCCCTCAGGTACTCCTAAAATAGGTCACTGCTATTTTTTTTCTGAGACATTGCTGCACGCAAATTGACTGCCACGTTGGCCTGTAAAGCACACAGTCACTGCACTTTCTATAATAATATATAATAACCCTTGCATTTCATACAGCGTTTTCCCGTCTTCCAGGCGTCTCAAAGCGCTTCACAGAATATACTGTAAAGTGAGTTACTGTATATTTGTGGGTAAAACGCAGCGGCCAATTGCGCACAGCAGCGTCCCCACAAACAGTCGTGGATTGAGTGATCAGTAATTATTGTTTTTTTNGTTGTTCTGTTTTCTTGAGGGATTATTATCAGGCGTGTGGAGTAAGGAAACTTAGCCATTGCTTTGCCCTGCTGGGAATTGAACCCAGGTCTCTCGCTTGTAAGGCGAGTGCTCTAACCACTGAACTACAGGTCTCCACAACTACAGTACACGCACGTCACCATGTAGGGGACAGGAGGAGAAACCAGTTGTCGAGACAAAAAAGCTGTAGAGACAATACCCCCACCTTTGTACCTTTGCAACACTTTCCTCTTTGACCGTGGCTACTGTCACCCGCACTCCCCCACCCCCACCCAACCCCCTCACCAACCTCCAACCCCCCCGCCCACCCCGACCCTCTCTGGCTCGGCATCAAGCTCCGTCACTGTTGAGCTCTCCGAGATGCTACCCTGTGTGAAGGGTGCTGCGTAAGTGCAAGTAGTTATAATAATAATAATAATAATAATAATAATCCTTGCATTTGATATAGCGCTTTTCACGTCGGGAGAACGTCCCAAAGCGCTTCACAGAACACACTGTAAAGTGAATTGACTGTATATTTGTGGGCGAACGCGGCAGCCAATTGCGCACAGCAATGTCCCACAAACAGTCGTAGATTGAAAATGACCAATTTATTATTGTTTTTTTTTTGAAGGGATTATTATTAGACTCTGTGTGGAGTAAGGAAACTTGCCCGAGGTTTCGCCCTCTGCCTGGAATTGAACTCAGGTCTCTCGCTTGCAAAGCGAGTGCTCTAACCACTGAGCTACAGGACTCCACAAGTAGTTGTTGAGCCATCTCAATAACATCAGAAGTACAACACGCAGAATCGCTTTGATTGGCAGGACAGACCACAGAGCCCCAAATTCTCAACACCTCACGCAACCCTGTTAGGCCAAGTGCTTCTGTTCCAGTGGCACCTGGTGGATCTGAAGTGTTACTGTGCACAAACACTGATCCGTTTAACTCAGCGAATTACAGCGCCCAGCATTCACACTTGATAATAATAATCCTCGCATTTGATACAGCGCCTCGTCACGTCTTCGAGACGTCTCAAAGTGCTTCACGGGATATACTGTAAGGTGAATTGACTGCGTATTTTGTGGGCCAAATGCGACATAGGAAATACCAGACAATAAAAGACCAAGGTCTATCCATTTCACCTTCCACCATCCTGGCGGTCGCTTGCACATGTCAACGTTCTGAACTACTCACACGGTTTAATCCCGAAATATTATTTCCGAAAAGAAATCGATCTAATTTGCATTTGAATCAACACTTGCTGCTGCCGGCATCTCCCTTAGGGAGCCTGGTTTACAGATTTATTTTGTATTGATTGTTCCTCTGTCTCGGTTATTGCCCCTTGTCTGGGCGACAGGATGCTGATCTGCACCTTCTCTTAGCTCCTCACGTGTGGCCCAGGCAATGATCAGCCAGGCGTGGTCCACCCATGGTGTATAAGATCTAGGCAGTATCTCTCAGTGAGTTCAGTTCCTGTCGAGAGACAGCTTTGAGCTCGTGAGCCTCAGACGCTGGCTCAGCTTCAGTTTGCGGCTGATTTACACCATCTGGTGGTGAGAGTGTCGTTCAGCAAACACTGTGTCAGGCTGTTCTGCCACCAAGTGTCCAAAACTGTTCATTCCCAAGCGATTGGTGACTACGACTCAGGCCGGGCGATGGGTTCAGTGGTTTACGAGCGCTAGACGTTTTATCTTGTCCAACAGTGGAACGGCCTGCGGGTGAAGTGGGGGGTAAATTCAAAACAAATCTGCGCAAACACTACTCCATTGAACGAGTAGTAAACGTACGGAACAGATCCCTAGGGAGACGAGCAGAAAGTGTTGGTTCTTTCAAGAACCAATTAGATTTCTATTAGAAAATAATATCTCGCGCATACAGTATATAGTTTGGGACATGTCAAGCGATTGCCAGGATGTGGTGGAAGACAAACTGGATGGACCTTGATCTTTCTCCGAGCAAATTTTTATGTTCTTAGGTAAATCTCTTTCTCACATCTAACATGATTACTTTTTTAACATGATTAACAGGTTGAGGAATGCCAACATGTCACAAGCTAACCCCAGTGTTTGTATGGATGTGGACAGGGTAAAAATCCTGCAGAGTATAGAGTTACGTCTGGAAGCTCAGCTCCAGGGTGGATGCTGCAGACCGGAGCTTGTTTCTCAGCACTGATACTATTTAAGGTCATAAAAGTATTAAAGTATTCAACTGCTGTGCGCAATTAGCTGCCTCGTTTTGTCTACAAAGTGCACAGTCAATTCACTTTACAGTGTATTCTGTGAAGCGCTTTGGGACGTCTCGAAGATGTGATAATGCGCTATATCAAATGGAAGAATTATTATTATTATTACACTCCGTGTGAGGTGCCCATTGCTGGATCTTCTCACCAGCTTACTGCAGACAATTAGCATAACTGTGGGTAGGAAATGTAACTCAGGATGCCAGCTGTCCACACCGCTAAAAGCTCTTGTGAGTAACTTATAGCACAGAGCTCAGTGATCGAGCCTTTTTATTGCGGTCTAACTACCTGGAGTTCTGACTCTAGTGCGTGGAATCAAAGATATTAATACGATAAGAATGATTCCTCTCTGAGGCAGGTATAAACATGAGCTGAAGACTGTACTATCAGGAGAATCTTAACACTGACTCAGTGCAGGTGGTAATAAACCATTGGGGCTTTATCCACTGAGGGAGAGGAGATGTGGTAGAGGGCTTTACCGGGTCAATACTGTTTCCTTTAGGTGAGGTCAGTAACTAGATGGCCGAAGTTTGTTAACAGAATCGCTGAGAGAGGTCAATGGGACGTTCTTCACTCGGAGGGTTGTACTAACTTTGTTGCCATACTTGACTGCCGTTGGATGCAATTCAATTCTCTATTTAACTGTATTTAGTTTGAATCAAATGGTTGACCGAAAATTTGTGAGTCTTTATGTGGTTCGTGACCACAATCGAGACAATCGAGCTCACAAGGATGGATGAAAATAAATCTTTCAAACCCATGTAGAGACAAGGTCAGGATAGAGAGGACGACAGAGACAGCAAGTGATGGAGCGAAAGGCAGAGAGAGAGAGACACAGAGATTCATTGAAAAACATAAGGTACACTAATAATAATAACAATAATAATCCTCGCATTTGACACAGCGCCTTATCACATCTTCGAGACGTCCCAAAGGAAAAAACTTCCTGCCTATTGCCCTGCTGGAGTGAACCACTTCACCAGTCAGTAAATAAAAAACACTCCAGAAACAGCTGTTACTGGTCTGTGTGTGTGCCTGGAGTTTCCACACCAGATGGTCAGGTCAAGGTGACGGGTAAAAGAATTTCCCTGATGATGGAGCCAGCCTGTTGCTCCCCACCCAAACTTGTCCATGGCCCCCTCCCCCCCCCCCCACTGATCACCATCGTACTCCAGCGCATGATGGTAAGTAGCCAATGCACTCCACATGCACCACACAGGAGATATCAGAAATTGCACCTCGTCTCTGTCTTACAAATCGACGTTGGGCAGAATTGGTGGAAGCTCAAACTCAGGCTGACTTTGGCCCGTGTGAGGCAGGGCTGATGTGAGCGTGGTGGGTCTGTGACCTGCAGGATGCTCAGGTATCTATTTCAAGCGAGAGAGAGAGCAATGAGGGTAAGAGCGGGGGAGTGGAACTAGTTTGTTAGCTCTTTCAAATGGCCTCCTTCTGTACTAAGATCCTATGATTCTAAGAGAGTTTTTTATCGAATGAGACAGCGTGAAAATACGTCCACATGACAGAGAGGGAATAGAGGTGACTGAGAGTGGAGAATAGGAGGGACGAAGCTCTTGTGAAGGATAAACACTGGCGCGGACTAGTTGGGCCAAATGGCCTATTTAAAATGCCGCCTTATTCTATGAGAGCCTGAGAGGGTTTTTGGAGTTATTGAGAGGCGATATAATTGCGTTCTTTAAGACTCCAAAGCAACTAGATGATGTAGACCATTGTTTCATCCTGCACATTACGGTAGAACCATTGGACACAGCCTGTGACTGAAAGGGGCTGAATTCAAAACAAATCTGTGTTCCCCCAACACCGAGTTGAAGTGTCTGTCTGGACTGTGAGTTCAAAGTCCCGAAGCGAGGCTCGAACCCACAACTTGTGACTCGGAGGCAGGTGTGCTAGAAGCTGAACCAGGCGGACACCTATCTATATTGGTTCACGTTTGTAGAACAACATTGAGAAGATAATTGGCATCAGTGTAAATATTAATTGTATATGACCCGACTCTCATTACATTGTGTGTTGAAAAGGCTGGTGACAGATACCCACTCAGTGAATCGGAAAATGGTGCCGTCTTTATACCCTAAC